AGAGTCACTGTACCAAAAAGACTTGATTGAAACAGAAGAATTTAATGAAACAACATATGATCAAGAAGCAATGGTGGTTAAGGAGGAAGTTCAGGCTGCTCTGAAGGAATTGGCAAAAAATCAAGACCAAGGAACTTATGGGATACTAGTTGACATATTTCAACAAGCAGATTCTGCCCTGCATGTGCTGACCAGATTGTGACAAGAAATCTGGAGTACAACTGCCTGGCCACCTGATTTTAAAAGACCCATACTTATTCCCATTCAAAAAAAAAAGGTGATCCAACAATATTACTAATATCACACACAAGCAAACACAAGCAAAATCCTGCTGAAGCACATCAACAAAAACTTTCAGAGTATGGGCTACGTTTAGAAAAGAATTGTGGCACTACAGACATTATCATCAATATCAGATGGACCTTGGCAGAAAGCAGAGAGTACCAGAGAAATATTTATCTGTGTTTTATTCACTATGCAAAGGCATTTGACTGTGCGGATCACAGCAAATGGTAGCTGACCTTGAGAAGAATGAAAATATAGAACACTTTCCTCAGACCAGGAAATAGTCTTCAAAATTGAGCAAGGAAAGACTGCATGGCTCATAATCAGGAAAGGAGTGTGCCAGGGATGCATCCTGTCTGCGTACATGTTCAGTCTATATGCAGAACTGATCATTCAGAAGGCTGAGCTTTATGAGGTAGAATGTGGCATCAAGGTTGGAGGATTGGAGAAAGACTCATCAACAACCTACATTGTGCTGGTGACACAGCCTCCCTTGTTGAAACTGAGGAGACCCTGTAGCACTTACTGTAGTCTTTAATATGAATTGCAGCTCAACATCAAGAAGACAAAGATTCTCACCACTGGGCCAACTGGCAGCACCATGATAGATGGAAAAGAAATTGAGGTTGTTAAAAATTGCTCAACTCCTTAATTAACAGTCTTGGCACCAGCAGTCAGGAAATCAAAAAATGAATTGCATTGGGAAAACCAACTGTCAGGGACTTCTCCAGAGGACTGAGAAGCAACAATGTCAGTCTAAAGACGAAGGTGCACCTGAACCAGGCCATGGTGTTCTCAATTATTTGCTGTGTATCAGAAAGCTGGACAATGACTAAGGATGACAGAAGAAGAATCATGCTTTTGAGTTGTGGTGCTGGAGAAGAGTCTTGAACATACTATGGGCCATCAAGAAAACAAGTCTGTCTTGGCGAGGGTGAAACCAAATTTCTCCTTGCAGGCTAGGATTTTGAAGCTCCGTATCACATATTTCTGGCACATGGCCAGGAGGGACCTGTCCTTGGAGAACAACATCATGTTTGGAAGGGTGAGTGATACGGCAGGAGAAGACAACCCTGGATGAGTTGGATTTATATAGTTACTTGGGTAATGGGGATAGGGATGTTGGAGTCAGTGAGACTGGCCCAGGATAGGGCAGGCTTCAGAGCTGTTGTACATAGAGTCTCCATGAGTTGCAGGCAATTTGAAGGCACATAACAAAAACAACCAGACTAAATATCTTGAGAGAAAGAATCACTAGCATTATCAGGCAAGATATCACATGATATGATTTTGAAAAAATGATCATTTTCTCACTGTAAATAACTTACTAAAAATATAAACAACACATAAAACAATTCTTCACAAAGAGAACATTCAGATGGCCAAAAAAAGTGAAAAAGAGTCAAAATCAGTGAGATGCAAATAAAAACGACAAGGAGATACCATCTAACCCCAGCAACAGTAGCAAAGTTTAACAGGACTCCAAAAAACAAATGTTGGAGAGTGTGAAGAGAGATTGTAACTCTCATTCACTGCTGATGGGATTGTATAACCACTAGGCAGATTGATATTTGTTCAAAAGCTCGATTTAGAAATCCCATATTACACTCCTGAAAATACACCCCCAATAAATCAAAGCTGAGATACAAACAGAAATATATTCGCTGTTGTGCATAGCAGCTTTATTGACAACACAAGAAAATGGAAAACAACCTAAAAGCCCATCCACAATTAATGCATAGAGGAAACTGTTGTATATTTTATACAATGGGATACTTAGAAGCACTAAAGAACAATAATTTTTTTAAAGTATAACACAATATGAGAGAGTCTACAGTGCATTATGTTGAGTGAAATAATAAAGTAAAAAAAGGACAAATACTGCATAAGACTGTTAACATGAACATAGGACAATAAATGAGATGTGAGGGAGAGAAGCAGAATAGAAATTGAATTGGTGATCAAAGAACACCACAAGGAACAAGACAAGGGAGGGTTAACCTGGGAAGAATTGAGAAAAAGATAAAAGGGCAATTGAAATGGTCTAATAGGAGCTGGATAGATAGTAGAGAGATAGATGATAGATAGATAGATAGATAGATAGATAGATAGATAGATAAATAGATAGATGTTGTTGTTGTTGTTGTTGTTATGTGCCGTCAAGTTGTTTCCGACTCACAGCGACCCTATGCACAACAGTCCCAAACCCTGCTCTATCCTGCTTAAAAGGGAAAAGGAGTGTAAAGTATAAATAAGGAGGAAGAAATCACTAGAACTGCAGAGATCAGTGGAATGATGGAGGTTGCTGAAGTAATAGGGAAGATGCATGAAGACTTGAGTAGACGGGAAGAAAACATTTATAGATCAAGAGTAATTCATTATATAAAACACAACATGCAGAAAAAAGAATATAAGCAAAATATATGTGAATAGATAATGTGTATGAATGACTGTATAAAAGTGTATGATGGTACATATAAATATAAAAATAGCAACATCTATACCCACACACTCACCTGATGGAATATCCAGCAACCATATTGACTACATGTGTGGAAAGTGTTGGTGGAAAAGCGCAATATCTACAATCAGAAAGACACTAAAGGCCATTCATTGAAGAGATTATCAGTTAATCAGATGAAAGTGGAGAATTTTTTAAAAGTTCACAAAAGCTCAATAAGAATTTGAGTTTATCCTACCTGAATTTAGATATCATCTCAAGAAGAGATTTGATGCATTGAATACGAATGGTCCAAGACTGACAAGCTAAGCCATGATATCTAGAAAAGCATCCAGAAAGAAAACAAATAATAAAACGACAGAAGACAAAAAAGGCAAAACTTTAAGTCATACATACTCTGAAACTTGCTCCTCAATGCAGAGAAGCCAAAATGAAGAGGAGAAATGATGAAGTAAGATATATGGATAGAAGCTTAACAAGAAAAGTGAAATATTATATACATAACACACTGTAAAAAGTGTGCATTACATTACTGAAATTCTGTGGGCAAAATACTAGATGATACAGAAAGTATAAAATAAAGATGGAAAGAATGCACTAATTATTGTATCAAAAGAAAACTTTCCCCAACATGGTGAAAAGAAAACCTACCAACTGGGAACAAACATTTGCTAATACCATCTCAGAGAAGAGTCTTATAACAAACATTTACAGAATACACTTGGGCCTCCACAAGGATGATAACCCAATTACAAAATGGACAATCCACATGGAAATAATTTTCATAGAGGAAGATATTCAAATGGCAAACAGACACATGTAGAAATGCTCAAAATCACTGGCAATGAGAGAGAAGCAAATCAAAATCACAATGAGGTACCATCTCACTCCAGTAACAATGGTAAAATTTAACAGGACAGCAAGTAATAAATGTAGGAGAGGCTATGGATGTAGGAACTCTTGTACATTGTTGGAGGGACTGTAAAATGGTACAACTCTTCTTGAACGCAGTTTGACAACTCCTCAAAAAGCTGAACCTATAAATTCTATATGATCCAGATATTCCACTACTTGGAACATACTCTGAAAAATTAATAACTGAAGCACAAATGGTGACTTGTACACCAATGTTCATGTCAGCTTTATTTACCAACACATGAAGGTGGAAACATCCCCGATGTTCAAACCACAAATAAATGGGCTGAGAAAGTACATTCACACAATGGAATACTATGAAGCACACAGGAGCAATGATTTTGTAATTTGTTCCCTAACTTGGGAGGGACTGGAGACTATTATGCTTGGTGAACTAATTCAGTCCCACAAGGACAAACAGTGTACAAAACCATTATTGTAGGATGAGTACAATGTTCCAAGGAGATGGTATAAGCAGAGGGGTGAGGATGTGCAGGCGGAGGGGGTATTAATCACAGAGTTGAACAATTTGATGTGAGGGAAATTGGGAGAATCTCTACTGGAAAACAATGTATTCAAATTTTGTAAATAAATGAAGAAGAAGAAGAAGGAGGAGGAGGAGGAGGAGGAGGAGAAGAAGAAGAAGAAGAAGCAGCCAACACTGAATCATTTCAAGATGCAGCACGTGATTCTGAACCAATGTTATTGATGAAAAAAGTTCAAGTCACACTGATGACATCAGTGAAAAATAGGGTTCCAGGAGTGCAGCAGGCAATGAATGCCAAGATTCCTCTGGGCTTCATCATAACCCTGATGTTATAAATCATGCAGAGTCAATTCCTCTACATAAAAGACAGATTTTATTTTTTTCATAGAGTATTTTGTGGAATTTTTATTGTTGTTGTTGTTAATATACAACTCTTTTTTTATTGTATAAAGGTATCGTAAGAGGTATCAAGAAAGTGAGGGAGGAAAAGGGAAGGGGGAAAATGTAGAAGAGAGGATTGGTGGATATTCCCTGGGGAAATTGTCAGATGGAGAATGCCCAGATGAAAACAGGAAATGAACCTTTAACTCACATCTGCACCTGCTCCTGGATTTTTTTAAATTATTTTATTAAATTTAATGAACATTTACAGAGATTTTGAATTTCCATTGATTCATTGTTGCATTTTTCTTCCTGCGCCCCTCCCCCATTTCAGTCTTCTCTTTGAAAAGTAAAAGAAAAATTCCTTCATTGGTATACAATCCTCCCCACCCCTTGCCCTGAGTATGCTCCACTATGCAACCTTCATTCTGGACTCTTGTCATAACCACAATATTCAATAATATATGGCTTTTAAACTGTTTTAATCCTCTGGTCTTGGCTCCCACAGAGAGGTTTCTGTCTAGGTTCACACTGACTTCCCCTCACTGTGTCTCCTGCACAGTAATACATGGCTGTGTCCTCTGTTCTCAGACTGTTCATCTGCAAATAAAGCATGTTCTTTGCGTTGTCTCTGGAGATGGTAAATCGACCCTTAACGGAGTCTGCGTAGTATGTGTTAGCACCATTTCTATTAATAGCTGAGACCCACTGAAGCCCCTTTCCTGGAGCTTGGCGAACCCAGTGCATGCCATAGCTACTGAAGGCTGCACAGGAGCGCTTCAGAGAGCCTCCAGGTTGCCTCAGGTTTCCCCCAGACTCCACCAGTTGCACCTCACACTGGACACCTGCAAATGCAGTGACATTCTGATTAGGAAAATCTTTACACATATCCATTGTTTCAATCATGCCCATTTATATACACTTGCTTTTCACAAAAATTACCTTTTAAAATAGCAACAAGGAAAATCCAGCTAAGTGGAGACATAGTGATCCTTCTGTGTTCAGCCCTAGCTCCTGAGTGAGGACACCTGAGATTCTGGGGTTCCTTTCCCAGAGCTGCAGGGTTCTGGCTGAGCTGGTTTTCAACAGCAGGAGAAACAGCCTTATTTGCATGAGCTCCTCCTGTATATTAGCAAAATGTAGAGTGCCTGGACTTTGTGTGATCATAGCCCAGAGGAGACATGAGTGTCACAAGACTGAGGATAACATTCTAGAATAACTATTTCTTTTAAAAGAAGTTTTATTACCATTAACATGATTTTTTTATTATTGCTGAGCATACTTTTTTCTATTGAACAGTTTTTCCTATTTTGTTTTATGACATTGCTTAAAATCCCCCCTTGTAACCACACACCCTGCTTTCTTCCTGTGATTCTGGATTCTGTTCATCCTTCCATCCTCTCCCTTCCTACCTTCTGAGCTTTATAACTCAGAAAGTTCTGGCTTTTAAATCTTGTTTGGTTGATTATTCTAAGACTGAGGACTTCCTTGATGTTATTGTTCTAAAGCTGGGTCATAAGGGCGAGTTCAGTTGTAGGTGGAAAGAATTACTATGAGGCATTGGATGGATGTCCACGTCTCTATAACATAAGTACTGTTCTGGCTACTTTTGTGATGTTAAATTTTCTTTCACTTTGTGTCACACTCTGTCTAGTATCTTTTAATGTGATATCTTTCATAGTGGTCAACAACGGTGAACATGTGCAATCTAATTTAACCTCAAAAACACAGAATATATTATGTTATTTATGACTACACACGGAGCTACTGCACTGCAATCCCAAAGGCATGAAGTTTGAGGCCACCAGCTGCTCCGTGGGAGAAGGATGGTCAGTCTTCTCTCATGTGATTAACTGCCCCTGGAAACCCACCGGAGGGTCAGCTATGAGTCAACTCTGAATCGATGGTACACCACCACCACCACAACAGGACTACAATTGACTAATTGTTTCATTGCAGCAATATTTTTCTTCACTGCTCTTTGTTTTACACAGGTAGAGGCCATACATCACATCTTAGATAATCAGTAGCAAGTTTGTAATATCCATGTTAAAACCAACCTACCAGGGTGAGATGTAGAAAATCTCCAAAGACTATATCTCTGAAAAGCTGGGACCAGAGACTTTACTCCTTTAGTGTCTGGTTTTGGTGAAGAAGTTCACATTAAGGTTCCCCCTGGTGGATCTACCCTTTAGGTGCATATACTTAGAGTATGTCAGGAAGGATCAGTCTCTGGGGAAGGACATCACACTTGGAAGAGTAGAGGGGCATCACAGGAAAGGAAGACTCCAGATGAGCTGAACTGACACAGTAACTGAGGTCATAGGGAGTAGGTGTGTCAGAGACAGTGAGATTGGCCCAGAATAGAACAGGGTTCACAGTTATTTTTTAGGTTTGCTATGAGTTGTGGTCCACTTGGCACATAACAACAACAGTAGCAGGTCTGCCTCCAAAGAGAATCCAACAGCCCAAAAAGAGTAGACTTCAAAAGAAGAATGATTTAGATACATAATAATAAAAATTATTCAAAACCAAAGGCAAAGAAAGAATACTGAGAACAGTACTAATAACATTGTACTTTAAGGTTGTTCTAGAAATGCAAATAAAAATAAAACATCAACAACAACAAAACCCACGACAGAAACCCTGGGTAACACAAACTTGCTTTGCTGGACTGCTCCTAAGGGAGACACTAGTTTGTCAGACCCTTGACTGGCTGCTGTTGTAGACTAGTTTTAATTCTGTACAGCTTTAATTTAAATTTTAATATATGTAATTGATAGTTACCTCCTAATCTTGTTTTGACTTCTGCTATAGACCTACTCCTTGGTCACTTTCCACAAATGGCGTCAGTCTGATGTCTGTGTATTACATCAGGTGTGCCGAAGTGTTTAGTCATCACGTGTGCTTTGGTGTGTTTTTCTCTTTTAATTATTTGCAATGTATAAATAATTGATTATAAAAAATCTCATTATGTGATCTCAAACCCCATTTATGTAACCCAGGCTTTACTCTCCAAGTATTGGTCCTTCCTCTTGATTTCTAACACTTACATTCAAGTAATCATTTATCTAAAATTCATCTTGATTGCATGTTTGATTATTTTTTAGTACAGAGTATTGGGCACTAATATTTAAATAATGATAATATATATTGATATAATATAACTTATATTTAAATAATAGTTTTATTAACACATCTTCCTTTTGTGTAATTATTACTCAGCTCTACGTGGACAATGAATAAAGAAGACCTCAGAGTAATCAATGCCTTTGAATATCACAGTATTAATAAAAGGTACTGAATATACTATGACTACCCAACAACAAATAGATCTGTGTTGGAGGAAGTACAACCAGATTCTACTTAGAAGGAAAGACGGTAGAAATGTCTTACACACTTGAGCATATTTTCATCAGGCACTAATGCTTGGATCAAATACAATTCTTATAAAAGCAGAGGGTCAATGTAGGACGAGAAGACTAACCTGTCAAGGAGAGAGATTATCATAGTAACTATCCAAAATGGTGGAGATTAAGATGATAAGGCAGGGTTTCAATCTGTTGTTGATATGGTTGCTATAAGTTAGTGTCATTTTAACAACTCCTAATAACAATAACAACCACCACCATCTTGTACGTGTATAGATGTTATCCTATCACTGACAGCGTATATAGTGTCTCTTGGGTTCAGTGGTTCTATGGAAGGTCTCCCAGAGACTCTAATCCATCAAGGGAGTGAGTTACATGACTGTGGATATGTAGAACAGTTTTTCAGAGACTGGTAAGTGTTGTAGACTATCAGTTGCACTGTAGCTAGAAAGGCAGTTTTCCTAAATAGAGAACTATTGAGGTCCCGAAACTTATTTAAGTCTACAATCCTATTTCTTTGACACAATAAATACTTCAACACAAAGTTAATCATTATCTAGGAATGACATTTTTAATGATAAACCACAGACACAACATCAATATCTAAAAACAACAAAAAATTGTACAATTAATTTTGTTGTTCTTGTTAGGTGCTATCAAGTTAAGCATGACTCATAATGACCCTATGAACAAAAGATCTGAACCGTCTTCTATGCTGTGCCATGCTCACACTTCCTGACACATAACAGTCCATTGCAGCAGTCACCTTGTCAATCCACCTGTTTGAGGATCTTCCTCTCACTCTCTAACACTACACCATCCCCAACATCCTGTCCTTCTCCACTGAATAGCACCTTCTAGCAATATGTCCAAAGTATGTGAGACAAAGCCTCATCATTCTTGCCTCCAAAGAGCACTGTGGCTGCACTATCTCCAAGACAGTCTCTTTGCCATCCATGGGATGTTGAGTGTTCTTCAACACCACAACTCAAGGGCTTCAATTCTTTTTCTGTCATTCTTATTCATTGTCCAGGTCTCAGATGCATAGCTAGTAATCAGAAAGACTATGACTTGAATCAGACAAACCTTAGTCCTCAAACTGACATCACTACTCCTCAATAATTTGGAAAGGTCTTTAAATGTAGATTTTCCCAGCTCAATGTGTCTCCTTATTTCCTGACTGCTTATACCAAGGGTGTTAATTTTGTATCCAAGCAAGTTGAAGCTGTTGACAGTTTCAATCTCATCTCCATCCATCATGACACTGCTTATTGATCTAGTGGTAAGAATCTATGTTTTCTTGATATTGAGACACAATTCCTACTAACGACTGCATTCCTTGAGCTTCTGCCACAAGTGCTCCAAGTCTTCCTCACTTTCAAAAGGTTATGTCATCTGCATAATGCAGGTTGTTGATGAGTCTCCCTCCAATCCTGATGCCACATTCCTCTTCAAAGAGTCCCACTTCTCAGATAATTTGTTCAGCAAATAGATTGAATATGTATATAGAGAGAATACAGCCCTAACACACTCTCTTCCCAATTCCAAACTATGCAGTATTCCTCTTCCAAACTATGCAGTACTCCTCTGTTTTGTTCATATAACAGCCTCTTGACCCAGATATAAGTTCCGCATAAGCACAATCAAGTGCTCTGGGATTGCCGATCTTCTCAATGTCAGTCACAATTTGTCATGACTCATACAGTCAAAATCCTTTGCATAGTCAAAAAAGCGCAGGTAGACATTGTTCTAGTATTCCTTACTTTCAGTAAGGAATACTAGAACATCATCAATAATATCCCTGGTACAACAGCGTCTTCTAAATAGTGCTTGAGCTTTTGGCAGTTCTTTATCTATGGACTGTCCTAGCTGTTTTTAAATGATCTTCAGCAGTCTTATGTTTCTATGTTATATCAATGATATTATTTGATAATTTCTACATTCATTTGGATCACTTTTCTTGAGAATGGGAACAAATATGTTAATATTCAAATCTATGCTCTGGCATTTAGAGCCAATGTGGAAGAAATTGAGAATTTTTACCAAACTTTGCAGTCTGAAACTGATCAAACATGCAATCAGGATGTATTGGTGATAATTGGTGACTGGAATGTAAAAGTAGAAAACAGTGAAGAAGGAACAGTAGTTGGGAAACATGGGCTTGGTGATAGAAATGAAGATAGAATGATTAAATTTTGTATTTACAATTATTTATTCACTGCAAATACTTTTTCTAAAAGACAATTTAGAGTACATAAAATTATTTTAAAAGACATTCGATAGAATATGTTTTTCTCATCAAATAAAATCACAGTTGTTGTTGATTGCTGTTGAGTGGGAACCAACTCATAGCTGACCTTTCAGATGGGGTTCATAGGCTGTAAAATGCACTGGAAGAGCTTTCCTATCTTTGTCTCCAGGAAGACTCTAGTGAATTCAAACCAAATGTCTTTGGTTTGGCAATGTAACTCCTTACCAGTAGGCCACCAGAACGCCCTAAAATCATGACTGAAAAAAAAATCC